AAAAAAAAAAAAAAAAAAGTCCTGGTGCAAAATTGCAAAACTTTAGCGAGCCCTGGATGGCTTTTGTTTTGCCTCCTCCCCATTTGGGCCAAATATGCAGGACAGGAACTGTTGACAAATAAGTGATGAAACTCTCAAAAAAAATGGAGGCAAAGAAAGACTCTGGAAGAAGATTGGTGTGTAGCTGGCTTCGGTCTCTTTCCTATTCGTGCCTTTTAATTGATTTTGCTTAATTTTTTGCAAAGGGATAAATGCATGTGGGACGTAGGCAGCGGAGCGACTTAGTTTGCAAGAGCGCGGCTGAGGCAGCGGGGAAGGGGCGGAATGGAACCGAGGGACGGGCAGGGTGGGACGATCACGGATCATTATTTTTTCCGGTGCGTGCGGGTTTGCGCTGATCCACCGCGCGTGTCCGCGGGGCTGCGGGGCGGGTTCGCAGGGCGAGAGCTGCCGGGAGACGAGCAGAGCCGCCGGCGGCAACCGGTGCACCGGGTTCCCCCCGCTTCTCCGGGGACCTACCTTGTGCGCGGCCGGTCCCCGCCGCCTCCAGCCCCGTCTCCGCGCCCGCCGCAGCTTCCCCGGGGCAGCGTCACCGGCCTCCGCCGGGCCTACCCTACATCCCCCCGCATTGAACTCGTCGCTGCCCCTCGGCCGCGGACCCCCGCGCTTTCGGCGCTGTCGAGCGTGCGGGGCGGCGGGGGGAGCGCGCGGGGGCTGCGCATCCATCGCGGCGTTACATAAAGCGATCTGGTTTTTAAATCGCCGCTTCCGGTGTGACTATGGAAACACTCGGATTATGTAAATACCGAAACCTGGATGCTGGGCATCAGATGCGAAGATTCGCCCCCCTTCCCTTCACCGGGGAATTAGCTCGTGTTCACGTACAATAATAATAATAATAATTAAAAGAATGATCCGGTCGTTAACGAGCATTTACCGCCGTTCAAGGGCTTTTACGGGATTGCAAAACGCTTCGGTGCTGTAGCTTGTGAATTGCCGGCGAGTTACGTGTCCCCCGCTCTCCTTCCAGCACCAGCCCCTGCTCAGCAACCCAAGTTTGAGTTTTCCTGAAGCCAAGCACCTGTTATTCCCGCCGAGTTCCATATCACGGGATGGAAAAGGTGCATGCAGCGGGGTTGGATCTTGTTTGGGTTCGGGTTTTGTTCAGTTTGTGCTTTGCCATCTTAATTATTTCCCCCAGAATGTGTTTATCAAACCGTTGTGCACGATCCATGTGCTTTTCTCGATTTTTTTCTTTTCCGGACAATGTATTTTATTTTGGTTTTTTGTGTCTTTTCTAGCGCTGCATCGGCCGAAGGCGGTACGATGAGAACGAGGACCTCTCGGACGTGGAGGAAATTGTCAGCATCAGGAGTTTCAATTTGGAAGAGAAATTAAAGAGTAAAATGTACCACGGGGATTTCGTGCATGCCATGGACGGCAAAGGTAACACCGCCGGGCTGTCCGGCCGCGCTCGCCGCCGCCTCCACGTGCGGCTCCGCTCCGGCTTCGGATTTCGCGCCCGCGCCCCTGCCCGGGGATCCGGTGACGCTGCCGGCCCGAGGGGAGCCGGGGGGCGGCTGCTGCTGGGGCCCTGCGGCCCGGCCCGTCCCGGTGGGGCTGCCCCGGCCCGTCCCCCTGCACCCGGAGGGCGGCTGTTGCCCCAGAGCGGTGCTGGGATGAGCGCGGTGATCCGTGGCAAGTGCCCAGCGCCTCCCCCGCCCTGCCCCGCCACCGTGACCCCAGCGCAGCACCGGGCTGGTCAGGAATCAGGTCCTGGCACGGGAGAGGCCGAAACCCCAGCCCCCACTTAGCCAGAGGTGATTCCTGCTCCTCCTCCGCCTCCCCTTGAACCCAGGACCACTTTTGAGAAAGAGTGCGATTGATGAGCCTGTTCGCCAGGCTCGGAGACTTTAAAGTCAATAACTTCTTTGTGAGTCTATCATATATTAAATTACATCGCTCCCCTCCCCAAAGTTACTTGCTTTGCTTAGGTGACTCCAATTCCGGAGCGGTAAGCAGAGCCAGACAGCCCAGCTCTGCCGCACGCCTGGCAGGAAGGGAAACGGGAGAGGTTTGCCCGGGAATCAAACGGGCCGGGGGGTTGCAGGTCACCTTTATTTACCGCTGTGCTGCTGACACGGATCCCTAATCCCAGATGGCTATCACCAAAACTCGGCCTGACTGAGGAGCTTGTTTAGGATGGCTTTCTAAGGAAAGAGAAGTTTTGGCTGGAATCCTCCTGAAATCGTTCTAGCTGCGTGGAGACATTAATCGAGTTTAGAAAGTTTCCTTTTCTCCCCTTGGCTTAGTTTTGCATGAGCATTTTAAGATCCTTTTAGAAAAGTTGATGTGGTAGAGAAATTAAATACCTATCTTACTTAGGAAGGTATTTGTTTAGGAGATAAGCTCAACCCTGACCCCTCTTCCTCCAAACAAAACACAAGCAACTATTTTTTAGCTGGAAAATGTTAATTAATTTTCCAGAAAATGATTGCATTCTACCTTCAGCTTCCAAACACTCCAGTGGTTGCCACTGCTCCATGCTAGGGATAGTACAATCCACATCTTCCCTGGCTTGGCAGCTCCAAAATCTCTGGGCAGCTCTTGCCTTTCTAGGGAACTTGAAAATAAATGAGTGTCTTTTGTTATTTTGTTGTGGTCTGTGTCGGCTTTGTTCTACCCCACAAGGGATTTAAATGCTTTGTTGGGGCATTAGGAAGAAAGGATCTGCCTTGCTATTTGCTCTGGTTTTATTTTTACTTTTGGTTTACTTTTTTCCTCTATAAACCTAAGAGTTGGATTGAATCTGGTTGAAACAATGACAGTAGTATGTAAGAATAAAACAATTTCTATGAACACATGGAATTAGTTGAGCAATATTTATTTTTTCGTCTTTCCCATGTCCTTGTTTTTATTTTTAATGATAACTCATCATGAAGTGTTGTGATTTTTGGCTTGAATGCAGTTTGTCATAACTACTTGTTCTTTAGTCTGCAAGGCTACATGGCTGCCTCTGCTTCTTCCACCAATGTTACTCCTGATGTTTGTTGACTTTCTGACTTGGATCAGTGTCTGTAAAAAGTCTCTGCGGTTTATTATTTGCTTACCAAAAGGCAGTAGCTGTAATGGGGATGCCTATGAGGAAGGATGACTTATTTAGCACAGAAATATTTACTTGGTAACCTTAGTTGAGTGTTCATTACACTTTCTTTGACACTAGTGGCAATAAAGTTTCTGTAGTTTTAATGTTTCTGTAAATGGATAATTACACTGCTCTGATTTGCTAACTCTTAAGTAGGAACATTACATCCCTACTTGTCATAATTACTAACTGAATACAGCAAAGAAAAAGTAAAAATAGAGGGCAGTACATGTGCAGGCATGGGAGTTTGGCCTCTGGCTCCTCTTTTACTTTTAGTGTAGGTTTGAGAGCAGAGAAACATCAGGAATAGAAGCTCAGGCTGAGGTGCTTGTGCTGGCCCAGGAGTGTGAACAGCTGGAAGAATCTTGGAGTTAAACTGCTCGTGTGTACCTGAATAAACTGCAGGGAGTGTGCTCTGGGTTTGGCAGTGCAGGACATTTTGTAGTGCTGAACAGTCAAGCAATGCTTTCCATTTCAAGGCAGTGTGTGGACTTTATAAAAGTAATTTTTTCCTGTAAAAATGGGGGAATAGCAGAGCCATAGAAACAGTCCATGGCTGCTGCAGGAATTCCTCTGCTCTCTGTGGCAGAAGGCTCCAAAATGAGTGTGGGGTTTTGTAGCCATGGCTCACCCAAATCGCTGCCTTGTAACTTCCTCTCTAATCCCCAAATCACTGCTATTGTGTCAGACCGTGCATAGAGAAATCCCCAGGAAAGGCCAGTCCTGTGTAATCCTCAGAGAGGAGCAACAAGGTAATTCTGGCCAGTGTTAACATGACAAATTTGTTTAATTTTTACTTTGAATGCATATTACACTGTGACACCCCACAATTCATTTTTCCCAGACTTCCTAAGTGCTAGGAGCTATATGAAATCTGACTATCAGCTCCTGGACTTACATTGCTGATTAATTAAAAGAAAAGTTGTTCTGTTGAAACCAACAGTAACCTCCACATAAAAAGAATATGTGTTCATAGAATCAGAGCTCTCTGCTAGAACCAGATCATGCTCACAAGAAAACATATTTATCTAAGTAGAAATGTGTAACTTAGAATATCTAAACTTACACATACATTTTAAACTACACATTTGCCCAAAAAATACCAGACTGATTTGCAGTATTTGGTCTGGATTATCCTTTAACTGTTAATTTGGTATTTCATTACAGCCTGGGTGTTTCAACACAGACCTTAATTGACAAACTGACTGGCTTCTATTTTATGTGCATCAGTGAACAGGAAAAATAGGGAGCAGCTGGGACAGCATTGTCTGTCACTGGGTTTCCGGTTCAGATCTAAAATATGCATTCTCTTTCTATTTCTCTTTAGGTGATAGGGAGTTCTTTGGTGAGAAAAAGGAAATGGGGAGAGTCTGAGAAAAAGTAACTGTGAGGTGCCAACACCATTGTAATTGCTTTTGGATGTTGTTCTTATTCATTTCCACAGATTTTACTTTTGAGTATGTTCAAAGAGAAGCTCTCCGAGTTCCCCTCATCTTCAGAAATAAGGATGGACTGGGAATTAAGTAAGTTACAACCAAATTTTGGTGATTAACGAATGCTTTTATAAAATAACAATTATACTTTCTACTTGTATCTGATATTTCTTTTGATGATCTCAAAATGGACTGCAATTAGTAAGACTGTCAGCACCCTTGAGAGGAGGAATAATTATTTTCCACTTATAAACAAGCAGATAATAAAGTCTATAAAAGTTAAGTGCATACAGCATGGTACTACACAGTAAAAAAAATAAGTCAGCAGTGAA